TGCTGGACTCCCATGTAGTCGACCGCGGTTCGAGTCCCAGACCTGGTGGCTTAAACTCATGCCGGGCGCATGTGCGTGCATGCCCAAGATCCCAAGAGGAGAATGGAGGAGAAGGGTTTGTGGTGTGGCCATCCCCCCTTGGGGGTGATTTCTCACTTTCTGTCTCTCTGTCTCTCTCTGTCTGTCTGGCGAGCGTACGCGCCCTATAGCAAAAACCTCTCCAAAAAAAGAAAAAAACAAAAACAAAACAAAACTATGCCACAACTATTTGGGTAGAAAATAAAATTACAGGGGGCAGCAGGTGGCATAGTGGTTAAGGACACTGGACTCTCACATGGCTGACTGTGGTTCAAGTCCTAGACCTGGCAGCTTGCTTTCTTGCCCTCTCTCTCTGTTCTTCTCTGGTCAAATTAAAATAAATTAATTAATTTAAAAAATAAAATTACAATATAACACATACAAATATATAAACTGTGCTTCAATTTTACCCAAACTAAAACCTCTACAGAAAATATCCTATCTCCTTTAGGCCCTAACAGCTAAGATTTATAAAGTGTGTCCTCTTCAGAAATATACACTATTACTAGCTACTGTCTGAAAGGAAGCTGTAGATAACTCACCAATCACTTAAGAAGATGACTGATATGTAAATGAAATGCACTAAAAGAAGAAAAGAGGTTACCTTACCACTCTTAAAGTATCCCATTCATGAAGGCTTTTGTTATATCTGGAAACTATTTGAAGTCAGTGTTAGCAGTACGATACTGCTAACCATGAAGAGTAGATAAGACAGCAATTAAAAGCTGCCTTACTAGAAGATAAAGTTAGAAACTCTACAAAACCAAAAAAAGACTGCAAAATGAAAACTAAGAAAGAGAATCCAGAATCATTATGAAAACTAAGGGAGAGGGTTTATAGTTTCCTAAGCATAACGTTCAGGATATGAGGGTGAGGGAAAAATGTAATTTTCTTTTCTGAGGAAAATTTTATTAAGCGAGAATCTGCGGGGAAAAAAGAAATTGGAGATAAATGGGGAAAGGAAATAAATTTACCTACACTTAATCTTTGTCAGCTGAGACCAGAGGCCACATAAAACTCCCTATTGACACAGGGTTGCATCCCATTTCTTAGGATCTGACAAAAATTGTTGCAGAATCATGGGGGCTTATGACTAGAAGTAATATTTATGTCTAATTTTGCTTCTCTGTATCATTCTTGCCAAGGTACTGTTGATTTGACATTTAAAAAAAAGAAGAAATAAAAGAATATTTCCTCAAGAGAATAAATTCTACGTAAGCTGCTATTAGGACAAATGTAAATAAGTGTCTCTGCCCTATAAAAAAATACTCAAGACAAAGAAGATAAGACTTTCAGGACAGAGCTTGTAACTCTATAGTGAGCTAACTCAGTACACACGCTAGCTGTGATACGAAGCAGTAAAACAACTGCCACATGGGCAGTGCAAACAAAGGGCCACCTAGACAACTCTCAGGTAGACAGCAAAGATCCTTTCTGGCTGAGTGCTGAAAGACGGAGTTCCTTGCAGAGGCAGGATGACAGCTGGAACCCAGAAAGACGGGCAGGATTTCTAGAGGTGAATATGATTACAAGCAAAAATGTAGCAGGAGGAAAATGTAAATCAAGTTCATGGGGCTGTCCGGTGGCACGGTGGTTAAGGTGCTGGACTCTTACATGGCCAACTATGGTTTGAGACCTAGACGTAGTGGCTCACTTTGTTGCTTGCCCTCTCGCTCTGCCTCTCTCTGGTCAAATTAAAATAATAACAATAATAATAAATAAAATATTTTAAAAATCTAGTTCATTTATCCAAATGTTCAAAGACAAAGAGGGGAAGAAAAGAACTTAACTGCTATTTACAAAATGCAGCCTGGGTATGGAAAAACACCAAGAATTAAGCTTATCATTGATCTCACGGGATAGATTCGAAGGAAACAGAATAGATTCTTCTTTGTACAGAGTGACTCAACCGAGATACTGTCTAACTATGAGGGTTGTGGGGCTAGAGGATGGCACAGTGGTAATGCAACCTAAGCCACATCCCAGGTCACATCCCAGTGCCTCCTGGTGCATGCTGTGCATGTGTCCATAACCCAGGCTGGCTAAGCCTCAGGGTGGACTGCAACGTGAAGACCCTGTTGGGGAGTCCTTGTCTCATTCTCTCTTTCTGTCTCAGGAGAAAAAAAAAAAAAAAAACAACCCTATATAAATATAAGAGTTGTCCCTGACCAGACGAAATTTCAAGATGCAGTCCTAGAAATCTGGAATGCCAACAGAATGACTCTATTTTTTCCTTGGGGATTTCTCATGACTTTCTGTCATATGTCACACATCATACTTTCTTAAAAAAAGAAAGGACAATAACTCATAAACCTCTTAATTAGGTCATTCCTAGTGTATCTTCTCATTAAAAACATCCAAGTGTGATACAGTCTGTGATTTTCACATCTGAAACCAGAGTACTCATAAAACTGCTAGAAATAGGGGCCCTGGGGGAACCTCCATGCATAAGTGTCTGAAAACCAGGAAAAGGATAATACAGAAGTTACAACAAACACACAGCATCCAGTGAGTGCTGTATTTTGCTCTTCTTACAAATTAACACTAGCACAAATGACTAGGTAACTACCACTTGTTATCTAACCACTGCCACTTTCCCAACAATATTATAATACAGAAAAAAAGAAATATACATGAAATCGACTCTAAACTTGTATGCCTGAAACACTATCTTGTACCTGGGTTACATACAAGATTAAGTCTAATGCCCATGAATTCTTCCTTCTTGAAGCTTCAAATGAAGTTAAACATGTTTACATTTTTCATTGTTTCAACCTTTTCTTCTTTTAAAAAAAATTCTTTACTTAATTTAATTTATTCTTTCTTTCTTTTTAATTGGATATTAGGGCATGTGCACCCACCAGAGAAAGAGAAAGTGAGAAAACAAGGTGCCAGGTCTAGGACTCGAACCATGGTCAGCCATGTGAGAGTCTAGCACCTTAACCACCATACCACAAGCCGGACTTTAATACGATGGAGCATCCTAGAACTTGATGCTGAGGGCAGTAGCCAGAATGAATTTGGTTCTGTTTCCAAAATCTCTGCTGAGTTCTTCCCTACTCTGTGCCTGCCAGAGACCTGCTATGACAAGGGGTCGTCTTTTTTATTTTCAAGATCTAACAGAAACAACAGGTTGACTCCATCAAAGACCCAAGAAAACACAGTCATTTAAATCTGCCTTGCTGAACAAGCCAATAAAAAGTAAATAAATCAAGTATGCAAAATTTTTACTTACACTTCCAGCCCAAACTTCCGGTGATCCCCCTGCTAATTTATAGTAAACGTAGACAGAGTCACCTTTTTTAAAATTCACAAAACGACAATCCGGGCCTGTGAAATCTTCTAGAGCCTCGCCCCGGTACATTAACACTGTACATAAAAGAGAGGGAGAAATAAAAAAAAAGATATCAGGATTCAATTTTCACAGTCCATATTGATTTATCGAGAATCTCACTGTAAACAACAATCAAGTTTTTCTAGTATTCTCTGGAACCACTTTCAATGCAAATGCTTACAGCATCTAAATCCTTAGAGCATTATTGTTACAAATCATGACATCCCCTGCAAGTAGCCAAGGGAAAGGGAAATCTCTATTTTTCTCTATGGCTGATTCTAAGAAGCAAAAAGCAATCTATCACCACAGGTGTCTCAAGTGACACTCTTGGTTCCCTCTATAACCTTCTAGTCTTCTCTTTCATAATCATAAAGAAGCTTCATTTTGCAAATGAGTACATCCAAGCGCAGGTGCTGACTGGCATAAGCTTGGCTATATGAAGAGGTAACCGGGAATCAGGAAAAGGACCCAGGAACTCCCAACGGGTCAATTAGCTTAAAATAACCACTAAAAGGCACTACCTTTAAGTGGCTGTAACTACTACAATGCAGTAGTAAACACTGCTGATTTCATTTGCAGTCAAGTTGTTCTCTCTGTACATGATTCCGATAAACAAACAGGAAAGAATAGCATACTCTATTAGAGTAAATAATGTTGACGGTATCCCACATAAAAAGATTTCAAAACAAAGGGAAAATTACACTTATTTAATATTTTTATAAACAAAATCAAAAGTGGACATCCTATTCGGCAGGGACCGAGCAAAACTGAGAATATGCAGAGCAATTCCACTTTCATAGTTAAAATGCAGGACTTAAATCTACAAACTGGAAGAAGCAGCCTTTTCCCTTTTGTTGACCATAAAGTTTCTGATGTAAGATGAAACGTACAATAAATACATTTAAACAGGAGAGACAAAGAATGATACAAAGGAAATGCTTTCTCTAAAAGCAATTAGCAATAAAATACATAAAAACATATATTTAAATACATATATAATTTAGAGGAAGTTTGTTCTTGAAGCTAAAATCTGATCATTTTTCAGACACCAGCTTCCTAACTCAGAAATAATCAAGTGATAGCTTTTCGGCCTTTTAGCTAAGATCACGGGCAGACATAATTGAGAGTCTAGGTTGAAAGTGATATACAATTTAAGCTGGAAATTAACAAGTGGCTGCTTCTAGGTCTTTTACCTAAGAGCAAGTGCAGAAATCACTGAGTGAGAGGCCAGGTTGAAAGTGATGGACAGTTTAAGGATGGGAATCCTATCAGAATTGGAAATGGCAACGGATCTCATTTCCCCTTAAAACAGATCACTGAGGATTTATAATAATGTCAGATGACCACGTGATGCACACTATGGAACTCAAAAAAGCACACAAGGGTATCTTACACACACCTTACCCAACACCGCATACAACACAACACAGACCCAGACCCTGTTGTGTAGTTGTTTCCAGATGCTGGTTACATCTGATTGGACGCATGCCATTTCTCAAGTTAGGATGCAACTGTGAGCCCTTCTAATACCCACTCTCAGTATCCAGGAAGCAGCAATGATGTGATTCTCCAGGTAACGTGTTTGGAGGAACTCAGGAAGGACAGCGCTTGAAAGCAAAGAAGAGCAAACATTTTGCCACATCCAATGGCAAGCGGGTCACAGCCTGGTTTTTCTCCGAGAAATCGGAAGGAAAATCATGGCAGTTGCTACTCTTTAAGTCATATGTATTTATATCAGCCCAGGGTTACCTCTAGAAACGGCTTAGCATCTCCTCCTTTTTTTCTTAAATGGTGTTGCAGTGATATAAATTCTTGGAATTTTGAAATTTGTTTTTGATTACCAATTTGAATACAAACAGCTAACCTGTAGGCTTCTTGGCCTTTTAGAATGACTATTTCTCCAAGTGTATTGCTTACAATTTATGAAGTGCTTCTGCCGTAGTCGTCAGTAGGTAGCTATGAAGCCATAAGAAGGATCCTGGTTTGGCAATCACATGGGGAAAGGTTCCAACAACACAACTGATTAAGGCTAAAGCTGGCTTGATTATAAAACCCGTGGAATATATATTAGTATCATCGTCACTGTAGTAACCCTCTTGCTCTGAATCTGAAGATCTGGTGCCCGCCCCGCCGCCCATCTCCAATCCCGGAATGCAGAGCAATTCCACTTCCTGCGCACAGAGGAGGAGGCTGCACAGAGGTCCTGGGTGGCCGGTGCAGACCCTCAGCCCCTTTCAAGAGCGAAAGATGTTGGCCTTCTTGTTCCTCTGCTTGGCAGTTTGCAAGGACGCATCCATACACAGAAATGACAAGACTGAGGCAGAGTCGGGGCGGAGACCTTGGAATATACTGCGTGCCTGGACTTCGGGCTCATTCCAAACCTAAACTTCAATCCCTGATTAAATAGAGGCACGAGCCCAAATCCTCTCAAAACCAGGGGGTGAGAGGTGCTGGCAGTATGGAAAGGCAGCGCCAATGCGCTTTTCTCCCGGAACCCCTCCATCAACCTGCCCCTGGGCAATACGCCCACCAAGCCCTGAGCGCATCTGCACCCGTACTGCACCCACCGAGGTCCTCGTGGCGGGGGCAGGAGGGCGCTCGGTTGCGGCTGGGAAGCCCAGCGCTCGCAGAGCTCAACACCCTCTTCCCCTAGGATGGCTGGGAGAGAGGGGGACGCTGTGAGCTAAACCTGCGGAAATCAGGGCCACCCCTATCCCCTCCCCAGTCAGCAGAGAAAATAAAACGCTGGCAACAAGTGGGAGGTGCAGCCCCCGACAGTCAGGGCCGGCTGGTCCCGGCGCCAGCAGAGCCAGCAAGGCCCTGGGGTGGCCCGCCCCCGCACT